CCACCCCAAACCCTTCAGGCCATCACAGACAGCATTGGGGCAGCACCTGGCAGAGCCCACCCTGGATTCCTCCTAGGATTCTGCCTCCAGGAACCCAAAATCAGCAGGATTCCCCCAGGATGGGAGAACAGGCCTTGCTTTCACCCCAGGCAGGTCCCTGAAGTGGCACTGGGACAATCTGGGGGCACATTCCAGGCTCCAGCCCCACGTTCAACACCACCCACGGCCCTTCCAAAGTCAACACCACCCCCAAGGCACAGCTCTGTTTGGAAGTGAAGCCTAAAATAAAGAATTAAAATAAAAATATGAGAGAATAAAGGTGGAAAAGGGAATGGCATGAAACAGTTTGTGGGTGGGTGAGGAAAATCCCCAAATAAACAACCCCACATCCTGAAATTCCTCTGCAATCGATTGTGGTGGTGGTAATTAAGGTCCTTGCAGCTGTTACAGAATTCCTCTCTGCCCTCCCACCAAACCAAACCCAGGGCTGAAATGTCCCATTCATTTGGTGGGATTAAGCTGAGCTTCACCCTGGGATCCACAGAGGATTCTCAACCACAATTACAGCCCCACCTGAGGGGGATGTCAGCAATATCCATCAGATTTTCAAGCAAACACACAGGAATATTTTTAAAAAGCAGCACTGAGATCTCTGTGCAGCTCCCACCCCATGTAATCCCTGCTCTGGGGAGAAATTAAATGGTTTAACAAGAAATAACTGAGCAAATCAATCCACGAGCAAGTATTGACTGCAGAGCCTTTGGAACAGCCCAGAAATCCAAGGATTTCATGAAGGATGGCACCAAACCCTGCCACAGCTCCCCAGGCAGAGGCCCAGGTGACAATTGGCTTTGGGGAGTTATTAAATCAGGAGAGCATTAACCCCAAACCCCAGGCCATGAACACACCCCAGGATGTTGGATCCGCTCATTAATTTCTCAGGATGAAAAATCCCAGGAAGAAAGAAATCAATGAGCACAGGACAGGGCAAGCAAGATGAATATTCCAGAGACAAAGAGCTCAGAGGGATAAATCAACCCCAAATCCAGGGAATGCAGAGCAGAGCAAAATCCAATTCAACACGAGCCTCAGCTCCTCCCAGATAAGAGTCACTCCATGGAAAACAGCTCCTCACTCACTGAGCTGCCCAGTCTGGCACTTGGATTTGGGTTTTGGGAGAAGTTTAGAAGGCCAGGAGGTGCAGGATGCTTCCTTCCCTCGGAATCAGCACGTGGGTAGTTGGGAAGGTTGGATTTATCCAGCTCCAAGCATTCCTGGGTGGTTTTAAAGCCCATCCCTGGCAGTGTCCAAGGCCAGGCTGGACAGGGCTTGGAGCACCCTGGGATGGTGGAAGGTGTCCCTGCCATGGCTTTACGGTCCCTCCCAACCCAAACCATGCCAGGATTCTTGGATAACCACCCCAACAGCCCAACTTCATCTCCAGCCTAAAATAAGTAAAGCCACACCTCGACTGAGGACAGGAGACTCCACCTGATCCATTCACAAACCCTGATCCTTCTAGAAAACACTGACAGGGACAACAAACCCCTCCTGGAGCAGGCCAGGAAATAACTCAGAGCTGAGCCCTCCTAAATGGAACAAATCTAACGGGATTTATCATCCCAAGCTCCAAAGATCACTGCAATCCTATATTTCCATTTCTTAAGAAATAAAAGCAACACTTCCCACACTGTTGGGATTGCTGGGCTCATTCCCCAGTGTCCTCTTCCTTTCCCATGTCACCCACAACACCCAACACCTCTGCCCCCATGGTTTGGAGGGGCTGGGAGGAGCAGGAGAGGGAATCTGCTGTGGAGATGGGCTGGGAGGAGCAGGAACGTCCTGGGTAGAGCTGGAATCACTCACAGGAGAGCAGCTCCTTCCCCCAGCCCCTTTGCTCCGCTCCACATCTCAGCCAGGACTCGTTTGCTCCAAATCCCCTCTGCTTTGGGCTTTTCCACAATTTGGATTGTGCAAATCCCCAGGAAAGCCTCACCTCCCCCTGGTCTTTTGGCCCAGAAGATGCTCTTGGAGCACCTGAGCAGGTTAGGGCTAAAACCTCTAAAAATTCTCTTTACACCCCCATTTACTTCATTTGCATTTATCTTTTCACACATCCTGCCTCATTCCTGTGCTCAGCTCACACCACAGGATTTTCCTGCCTCTCCTTGGGGTTCTCCCTCCAAATCCAGGAAGAGAAGCAGAAGCCCAAATAGCCCAGACAGGAGGGGCTCAGCCCCATAGGAAAGCTCAGCCCTGGGTATGGCACCTCCATCCCACAGACACACCTATTCCTTCCTTCCAGCTTTTCCTGAGTTGGATGCTCCTCTCCAAAAAAATCCCATCCCTCCTTTCCCAAACACTCCCATCCCTCAATTCCCAAGCACTCCCACCCCTCAATTCCCAATCACTCCCATCCCTCCTCTCCAGAAGAATCCCTGCTCAAGAAAAGGGGTTTGGTTTGTGCTCCAGCCCAGCCAAACTGGGAGCAGCTCCTGGAGGAAGTGGCCAAACTCAGCTGGGGGAAAATCATAAATAAAACGGGATTTTGGGGCAGTGCCCTGTCCTGAGCTCTGGGGACACTCCCAACCACAGGAATTGTTTCCTGCAGGCTCCACAGGGAACAGCTCTCTCCACCTGTGGTTCCCAGGTGGAAAAGCTCCTCAGCATCCCCTCAAGGACAAGGCAGAGGTCACTCCCTCCCCTGTTCTGTCACACAGGAGGAGGAGGAGGAGGAGGGATGTGCTGGGACACAAGGAGGTGGCACCGACCCCCCTCACCTGCAGAGCTGGGGCAGGGAAAGCAGATCCAGGTGGTTCCTGGCACAGGGACTCCCCTCTCCCTCCACCCTGGAGCCACACAGCCCCTTTTGGGATGGGAAGGATATTTTCCCCGTTTCCTCAGCTGAGCAATGCCCTCAGTGCTGTGAGCTGCAGGGATCACACCCCCAGTTCCTTCCTCCCAGCCTCGGGGAGAAGCTTCTGGGACATTTCCAGGATGGCTGGAGGAGACCCTACTCCTCGGGCAGCCTGGTGGCAGCTGCAGAGCTGGGAGTGCCCAATTCCATCCCACAGGAACTCCTGCAGCCCCCAGGAGTGCCCAATTCCATCTCACAGGAACTCCCGCAGCATCCCCAGGGCAGCCCTTGGGAGTACCCAATTCCATCCCTGAGGAGCTCCTGCAGCACCCCCAGAGCAGCCTCGGACACAGCAGCACTCCAGGATTTATCCTGGCCGGGACAGCAGGACCCTGGCCAGGTTTGCTGCACCTTGGAGGAGTGAGGGCTCGGTGAAATTCGCTGTCAGCCCTCCCTGGCACCGGCAGATCCTGCCCTGGCACCCAGGAGGGGGAGGCAGCTTTTCCCCACTGCCCACCGCCTGTCCCTGCTGTAATTCCCGAATTTCCTCGTCCCACGGTACCGGATTGTCCTGCTGGAAAGGACCTAAAAATCTGTTTTTATCTCGGATTTCCCCCCAGCTGTGCCGCTCCCGCTCACAGCAGCAGCTGCTGCCTGCACGGCCGGGGCAGCTCCTCCATCCCTCCTCCCCTGCACAGTTCAGCGGCTGCCGTGACAAGCCCAAAGGGACAATTCCGTCTCATTTCCCGGCTGCATCCCTGCGATCCAGCTCGCAGGCAGAGTTTGCTCTGTCCCCACAGATCCGAGCCCCCGTTTAAGGATGCTCAGCCCCGCAGAGATCAGCGCACCGGAATATTCCAGCACCACCAGCATCCCGCTGCTCCCGGGCATCCTTCACGTGTGTCCAACACACCAGAGCTCCCAACAGTCCCACCGGGATCCTCCCAAGCACGGATCCCGCTCCTAGCCGTTTGTAAAGCCCGGCCCCGAGCTTTGGGGTTGATCCAAGCCCCGCTGGTTAATCGGGGATCAAACACCTTTGGGATCAGCTCGGCTCAGCAAAGCTCCGCATCCCAAAGCGCTCCAGGGGTCCCAAAGGAGCGGATCCAGGGGATGGATGTACGGGGAGCCGAAGGAGCCCGACCACAGCAGAGCCCGGCGGGATGGGCAGGGCTGGGCCGGGGGACCTCGGCTCGCACTGGGGAAAAATCTGAGTGCGACTACGCTGGGAGCAACGCGGAACGTGGGCAGGCAGCGGCGGGGATGGTGCGACATTAATTTAATTATTTCTCATTACAACCCAAGGCAGCAGCCAGCTCCTCACACGCCAGACAGTCACCCCTTAAACCAGAGAGCATCACTTGGAGCCGGTGCAAAAACCAGCGGGAGGGAAAGCGCTCGGTGGGCAGCGACCCGCAGGGAGCTCCCGGGCCGGGGGGAACCTCCCGGCCCTGCGGGACCTGCCGGATGCTGCCGGACGCACCGGGACCCGCTGGACCCTCCGGAACCTGCCGGACACACCGGGACCTGCCGGACACAGCAGGACCCACTGGACTCTCCAGAATTTGCCGGACACACCGAGACCTGACGGACACACCGGGACCCTCCGGGACCGCTGCGACCCCGGAGCGCTCCGGGCACGGTGGGCAAAGGCGCAGCGAGCGGCGGGGCCGGGAGCGGGACACGGAGCGGAACCGACACCAACCAAGAGTCCCTTAAAGCGACATCAGTCAGGGGTGCCCTTGGACCGACACGATCGGGGAACAGGGACCGGGACCAACACGAGCCGGGGATCCCTCGGACCGAGAGGAGCCGCAGACACGGAACAGAACCGACATGACCCGGGGGTCTCTTGGACCGCCACGAACCGGGGACAGAACCGACACGACCCAGGGGTCTTGGACTTGCACGAACTGGGGACACGGACAGAACCGACATGACCCAGGGGTCTCTTGGACCGACCCGAACCGGGAACAGAACCAACACGACCCGGGGGTCTCTTGGACTGACTAGAACTAGGGACATGGACAGAATCGACACGATCCAGGGCTCTTGGACCGACAGGAACCGGGACCAGACCGACACGACCCAGGGGACCCCGGACAGCAGCCGAGAGCAGGGGATGCTCCCGGCGCGCACTCACCGCGGAGAAGTTGTGCGGGCCGCAGAGCTCGCCGCGGTACTTGCAGGACAGCAGCATGTCCTCCAGCTGGTGGCCCAGGCGGTCCATGAAGTCGGCGCTGATGCCCTCGTAGTGGCGGGGCGGCAGAAAGAGGCGGAAATCGGCCAGTTTGGCGAACCAGCGCAGCCGCGCCTCGTCGGCGCGCAGCAGCTCGGTGAGCAGCGGCCGCGCGGTGCGGTTGGGCAGCAGCAGCCCCAGCCAGTGCCCCGCGTAGTACAGGTCGCCCTTGGAGAGGCGAGGGAAGCGCAGCGGGTTGTTGTTGCACAGCGTGACGGCGGGGAAGGGCAGCTGGCGGCTCCACTCGGTGCGCACGCGGGTGTGCGAGGGGAAGGCGAGCCAGTGCAGCAGGCGGTCGGAGGACCAGGCCAGCAGCAGCCCCAGTGCCGTGCAGAAGGCGAGCACCCAGAGCGCCCGGCGCGCCGGCGCCGCCCGCGCCGAGCACATGAGGCGCAGCCCGTGCAGCCGAGTGCGCAGCGCCGGCGCCCGGCGCCCCCGCGCCATGGGCGCTCCCCTCCTCCTCCTCCTCCTCCTCCTCCTCCTCCTCCGCCCCCCGTTATCCCCCGGCTGCCGCCGGCCCCGGCCCCCCCGCTGCCTCCTCCCTCCTCCGGCAGGAGTTTGTTTTTCTGCTTTTCAGCCAGCCCCGGGGGAGAACATAATATCAAGGAAAGCCGGGGGTAACGGAGGCGAGGCTTGCAGCGGGCTCCGTGCGGCCGCTGCGATCCGGGGAGGGGGGATGGATTGCGGGGGGCTCCGGGCTCGCTGCTCCCCGCGCCTCGGCTCCATGGAGCGGATGGGAAAGGCACAAACGCGTTCCGGGAAGCATCGCCCCCGCCCCTCGCTGCCCCTCACCCCGAGCCTGAGGAGCCCTTCGGGGTCAGAGGCTCCTCCTGCCCTGATCGGACACCAAAAGCCCCTTTCCCTTAACACCCCGTGCGACGGGAATAACTCGGGATGTGGATTGGCATCTCCTCGGCATTGCTGAGCTCGGATCTCTGCAAGCGGCTGCCGTTACCTTCATTTTGCTTTCAAACAGTACAGAGAAACATTCCTCTAATTGTGTCCAATTAAGCCGTAAGTGCCGGTAACTGCTCCGAATCCCCTCTGATATATTTTTTTTTCTCCCTCGGAATTAATTTTCCCTGTGCATTTGGAGCCGTATATTTTTACCCAATAGATGGAGTCGTTACAGCCTGCTTCTCTCCAGCCTCTCCCGGCGAGTTGCTTTTTTTATTGTGCCAAAGCTGCGAACGTGCAGCAGCCGCGGCTTGGAGGGCAGCCGGCCCAAAATCCCGCTCCTTGTCCTAAAACAGGGGGGGAAACGTGACCGAGAGGCTGAGCCTGAGCCCTGCAGGGCGGGGGCGGTGGCAGCAGCACAAACATTGCCTGAGCTCAGCCAGGTGCCCTCAGATAACTCGGCTGCCTTTTCCCCAGCTCGTGTCCATGCTCGGGAGCATTTTCCTATTTTTTAGCAGTGCTCGTGAGCAGTGAATCCTTCCCATCAGCCCAGCACCGGCCGTGACCTTTCAGAACCGAGTTCCCGTCTCCATGCCAGCAGCATCTCTGGCAGCTCCAGGGAGCCTCTCCTGCCGTTTTCCCGGCGGATCCCGGCTCGTTTTTCCCCGCCGCCTGTTGAAAGCACTGGGAGTTTTTCTCCTTGGCTCCCTCTCAGGATAATCAACATCCCAAGTGCTTCCCCACCGGCTGGGCCGGGGCTGTTTTATCCATGATTTATTGCCACAAACGAAAGGAAATAAAAGGTGCTCGACCATGAACATCCTCCCGAGTTCCCTCCTTCTCCACGCTCATCCCAGCCCTGTGGCACAGCTTTCTCTGGCAGGCAAAGCCCAGCCCTGCACTGGCTTCACTTTCAGCTCTTTCTCTTCACCAAAAGGTATTTCTTTGTTTTTTTTCGGTTTTCTGGTTTTTTCGGTTTTGTTGGGCAGGTGCAGCCTGGCAAAAGCGGCTTGTGAAGGAAAGAGCAGCAGCTTTGCACGGGAAGCAGCTTTTCCTGAAATCCACTCCAAATGATCCACTCATATCTCCTTGATTTATTAGAGGGAAGCAATTTTTCTAAATTAGCTGGCAAAGGGTAGTGGGATGGCCAAGGCCAGCTGGAGCTGGAATCCAAAAGGTTCCCCACAAAAACATTCCAAAGCCAAAGCAAACCTGAGGATGAAATTCCCACGTATCACCTGGTGGGACATGGCCCCAGCCTCTGGAAATTCTCTCCATGTTTGCAGTTGTTTGGGAAAGCAGCTCATTCCCTGCATCCGAGCCCTGGGTGATTCCTCAGGCAGCCACAGCAGCTCAAAGGCTGATTGGACCTAATTAAGTCCAATAAGAAATAATTGAGCTGATCCAGAAATATTGCTAATTCACCAACAAGTCACTTGAAAATTATCCCTTGAGCTGGGTGAGTTTCCTCCTTCTGGGGGAGAATGGATTGGGGGTTCTGTAGTTTGACAAATTCAGTGAATTATTGTGGGGAATCCCACCATTCCCCACCCAAAACATCCCCTGGGTGCTCTTGAAAGGGGACAGGAAGACAAATTTTGAAAGTTGTTCCAAACAAAACCTTTGGCTTCTTTTGAAACTTAATTTTCACCTCAAACATCAACCTGGATGAAGACAAAAAAGATTAAAGAAAAGCTTGAAATCCCCTGGAAATGAAATTGTTTTTGTTCTGCTGGATAGTGTCAGTATTAGTATTAATATCTGTATTTATTAGTATTAGTATTTATCCTGGAAGGGGTATTAGTATTTACTATTATTAGTAGTATTTATTATTAGTAGTAGTATTTATTAGTCTTTATCCTGGAAGGGAGCAAAAGGAGGGAGGATCCCCCTCCAAACTCCTCTCCCAGGTGATTTCAGCCTCCTTCCCTGGCCCTGTGTCCATTGGAGCATCCCAGGGGATTTCTGGGATTTATTCCCTTGCTCTCCTGAGCAGTTCCTGCTGGAACTGAGCTCATGCTGAGTGAGCAGCAGATTTATCCTGGGTTTTATCCCTGTTTTTTTCCCCTGGGGTTGCCCCAGGCATGGAGGAGCTCTGGGACATCCTCTGCTCTGCTGAGCCTTTAAGGGACCAGAATCTGGGGGACAAATTACAGGGCTGGGATCAAATGGGGCAGGATGGGGTTTGGATTTTGGGAAACAATTCCTCCCTGGGAGGGTGGGGAGGCCCTGGAATAGAATTCCTACAGAGGCTGGGGCTGCCCCTGGATCCCTGGAATGTCCCAGGCCAGGCTGGATGGGGCTGGGAGCAGCCTGGGGCAGTGGGAGGGATCCCAGGGGTTGGGACTGGATGGGCTTTAAGGTCCCTCCCAACCCAACCATTCCAGGATTCCCTGATCAGCCTTCATGGGCTGAATTTGGTGCTCCCAGAGCCCCTGCAATACAAAGATGGGGATTTTTGTCTCTCAGGCCCCCTGGGCTGGGAATGGGATCTCTCTGCCGGCACAGAGCCATCCCCGGGGCAGGAGCAGAGCCTGGCACCGCTGGGCACAGCTGGCACAGCTGGATGTGCTCATCCTGCAGAGAGCCCTGCCTGGGCCGGGCTGGACTTTTGGGACATGGGGATGGATGTGACCCCACAGCTCTTGGGGACAGGTGTGACCCCACAGGATCTAAGGATGGGTGTGACCCCACAGCCCCTCCTGGGACAGGTGTGACCCCAGAGCCCCCCCAGAACAGATGTGACCCCACAGGCTCTGGGGACAGATGTGACCCCACAGGCTCTGGGGACAGGTGTGACCCCACATCCCAGGGTGTCGGGGCAAAATGAGCCCCAAGCCTGTTCTCCAGCCCCCAAACCTTCAGGAAGAACTCCCTGCTCTGCCCAACCCTGCAGAACCAATTCCTGCTGGAGGCACAAAGGCACAAAACATTGGAAATTGGGGTTTCCATGGAAGCCACAGCTCGGCCCTAAAGCCAGCCCTGCTGCCTCAGAGCCCAGAGATGTGACAGCCCCACCCTGGGCTGCAGAACTTGGGGAGCCCCCCAAACATCCAAGGGGGGGCTGCTGTTTTTTTCCTTGGCTTTGTTTCATTTTTCATGCAAATAAATTAAATAAATACTTGGGCTTCCAGCTGGGAAATTCTCCCAGGGAATGGAGGGGATTTTGGGGGCTGCAGGGATTTGGGGCTGTTTGCTTTGAGTGCAGGCAGGTGAAATATTCCATCCACCCCAAAATATTGGGAGCACATAAATAGTGCCAGGGTTTCTGCATCTGCTGCTTCACCCCAGCAGCACCGGAGGAGTAAAAACGTTGGGATTTCACAACCCTGTTCCAAAACAAAACAAAAGATAAAAAATAGGGAAATTTTGGATATTTCATTTCCTTGTGCATGTTTAAAGGAATAAACCTGGGAGAGATCAAACAAATGCCCAAGTGTGGTGTGGCTGCTCCTTTGGGAATTACACTGGGAATCCCAGCCTGGATAAGGGAAATAAAGTGGGATTTTCCAGGCTTGCACAGAAGAATCCATTGAGAAGATTTCAGGAGCCAGATCCTGGCTGGGCTGTGGACCCTGCCCGTGGGGGTCCCTGATCCCAAAGGATCCCTGCACATCCCAAAGGATTTAATCTCATTCCTCTCAGCTTTTGGAGGGGACACAGGGCTGATCCAGGGGTTTAATTTGGGATCAGCTGTGGATTGAAGGTCCTGTCCTGTGCCACACATGGACAGATCTGACCCTACAGCCCTTGGGGACAGTAGTGACCCCACAGGGCTGTTGAATTGCCTTTAATTAGCAGGGTCTACTTTAATTGGTATTCCTGGCCTTCCTTAAAGCAATAAAAGGCTAATCCATAAATAAAGGTGTTTATAGAGATAGATATTTAAATACCTCCTCCTTTTCCTTCTGCAGGTAGGGAAGAGGAAGGATTTGGATCTATTTTAAGCTCACAGCTGGCATCCTCCCAATTATCTCCTTTTCTCCCCCCCATTTTCCATTTCACTGCTGAAGAAGTGAGGGGAGGAGGTGAAACAAATGGAAACACCTCTGGATTTGCGAAGGATGGATTTGAACAGGAATTCTTTGGAGCAAATGAAACAGCCAAGTTCTTGTGGCCTCTTCCTATCAAATTCCTTCTTTGCCATCAGGAATGGGGCACCCTGGACCTGCCAGGGAACAGATGTGACCCCACAGGCTCTGGGGACAGATGGATTTTGGGAAACAATCCGGGCCCAGCCCAGCTCTGCTCCAGGACTCTCTGTGGATTTTGGTGACCCCAGGGCTGGCCAGGAGCCTCCCCCTGTCCCTGGGGGCCCCAAAACTCTGTCCAGAGATTAAAAGAAGTCATGGAATGGTTTGGGTTGGTTTGAAATCTTAAATCCCCCCAGTGCCACCCCTGCCCTGGGACACTGCCAGGGCTCCACAGCTGCTCTGGGAATTCCATCCCAGCCCCTCTCCGTCCTCACAGGGAAGGAGTTTTCCATATTTGCAACCAAAATCTCCCCTCTGTCAGTGGGATCCATTCCCCCTTGCCCTGTCCCTGCAGGTCCCAGCCCACAGGCCCTGTGCAGATTTTGGGGCCC